AACCTCAGGTAACTAAGTATTAGGCATAAATCAAGAAAGATACTCATATTTTTGAATGGATGCTAACAAAAATTAATGATGCAGCCCGGAAATCCTCAACCACGTATGTTTCGACTCCATGATGACAAAGCGGTTATAAATCGATATGGATTTAATTCGGTTGGCCACAAGATGGTAGAACTTCAACTCCGTGATCGTCTTCGACGTTATCTTTATCATTCGGCAAAACTTCATCCTAGGACCACTGCCTCTCTTCTGACATCTTCTCCAGACGGTGCTTCATTGTCTGATGCGTTAGGAATTAACAGAAGTTTAAAGGATGATAAACTGCTAGGCATAAATTTAGGGAAAAATAAATCAAGCGATCCTGAGTCAGTGGACGATTATGTTAAAGGGGTAAAATCGTTAGGTCCTTATGCTGATTTATTGGTTATTAATGTGAGTAGTCCAAATACTCCGGGATTAAGAGGACTGCAAAGGAAAGATATTTTTGAGAAACTATTGAATGAGGTAATATTCTCTTTACGTGGAAATTCTTTGATGTTATATTATTATATATATATATATTTTAAACAATATTATTTCACAGGTTATAATTGCTCGTGATTCGTTGAGTGGTTCACGCCCGGCTCTTTTAGTTAAAATTGCACCTGACCTTTCTGATGATGAGTTAGATGATATTGCCGATGCCGCTATGAAAAGTGGTGTTGATGGTATAATTGTGTCCAATACTACTATTTCTAGACCAAACTCATTATATAGTGGTTGGTATAAAATTGATAAATTACAAATATAACGTTCACAAAGTAGGAAAATCGATTTAAATTTTTTTTTTTTTTATTACTACAACCATAGATTCATCATTAGCTTCTGAAACTGGAGGTCTTTCTGGACCTCCTCTTAAACCTTTAGCACTTAAATCTTTACGAAAAATATATCAACGTACAAACGGTGAGCTAACTCTTGTAGGTTGTGGAGGAATTTCTAACGCTAAAGATGCTCTAGAATATGCGCGCGCTGGGGCGACTTTAGTACAACTTTATACCAGCTTTGCATATGATGGTGTAGGCAAAGTAAGAGAGATTAAAGACGGAATTCTTAGTGAACTGAAGGATAAAAAATGGACAGATATTATTGGAGAACAATGGAAAAATTAATGCTTTTCGTTTTTTGGGTAGATTTTTTAAACTATGAAAAAAAAAACTAATAAATAATAAAACCGTAGACTTAAACTTTATTTGATTACAATCTATTATTATCTTGTATATACAGTATGCAGGGACATGTAAAAATATCGATTTGATTTGGCAAAAATATCTTTCGATATGGTCAAAAATATCGATTTATATCGATTTACCTGATCGAACCAATCAGAATGTAAGTTCTGTGGTAACGTGATCAGTAACGAAATTTTATCTTCCCCAGCATCGCCACCAAAATTTTTTCGATCACGTGATATCGACAAACTTCTTTAGAGTTCGTTTATGTTAGGATCAGGGTCAGATTTAGGGTTAGAAAGGTCTAGTATATTGTAAAACTATCCAAGGAACTTTTTTTGTTAGAGCATGAAAGGCGGTTTCTTAAGCAAATTTTTGAGTAAAGAGGGATTTTTTGAAAGCGAACGTTTTGTTTTGATCTTCATGATCGTGTCACGTTACACCAAGGCGTGATTTTTATTGGATAATTCACGTGATCGAAAAAATTTTACTAGTAATTTTGGTGGCGATCCTGGGGAAGTTCGAAATTTTCGAAATTTTACTTTTCGCAGACTTTTCGCCGTTTGTTGACTGTCTACTTTCCGAAACTTTCCGATGACCCGGGCTGGCCAAATTTATATTACCGGCCAAAATTAGACTGTTAACTTTGCCTAAATTTGTATTGTTACACTGCATTAAAAATTGCAAAAATATCGATTTACATATGATTTGACCCCAAAATATTGATTTATATCGATCTAAATAAATCAATATTTTTACATGTCCCTGACAGTATGTTAATGTTTTACACTAAAATGTTATTAAATTAGAATAAATTTTACTTTTCATTATTACTGCATAAATAACATAAAATAGATTTTTATATTAAATTTTGATTGCAAAATATATTTGTCGGATCTAGTGTTCTACATAGATGAGAAATGGATTTAATTAAAAATTTTTCTACTAAATTACTTAATGGATACATACTTTTTCATGTTCTTCAAAACTTTAACAGCAGGCTAAAATGTGTTTGAAAATTTATTAGAATTTCAAAGTCTTTTGTTTTTTTTTAAACAAAAAACCAGGTAAAATTTCGATAATACCTCGCTTAAAGACTCTCGAAAGCATTCTTTTTTTCTTTTCCCTATGCCGGAAATATTATGTGAAACGGATCCGTTTGATTGTAATATCTCAGCTAACGCAACTTGTTCTATAAACCTTAATGCACTAAGAGGATCACTGAGATTGTGAGAATTGAATCCATAAGTGAAAGTTATGCTTGCACCTGTGTCATATCTAATTAACGATGATATATTAACATAAGATTAACACTAATAGAGAAAGGAGAGTTACTAACACCCTAACAACTTACATATGATCAATTCGAGCGCCAATGTATGGCTTTGGCCGAATACCTTGAGTCTTGCATGCGTTCGTAATTGCTTCTTTCACTTTTTCGACAAGCACTTCGACATTTGACCACGAAGCAGTTGCATCAAGTCGATCTGATATCGCATAATAGTCTAAAAGAAAATCACGAAGATAAGGTAATCTCTATGAAATCGTAGAATAATTATTAAAATACAGAAATGCAATCACGGATAACAGTTGAAGATTCATCCTTATCATTTTGTTCTTACCTTTGATACAAAAAACATCCTCTCA